TCTTTTTCGCCGGCGACCCCGGCTGCAGCCAGCCCCTACATCTCCGCCGATTATGAGCTGGGTCACCTCCAACTCCTCCTCGTTCGAGCGGCGATCGGCAACAACGACCCTCAACGCACGAGGAACAAGTTTACTGATTTTGGTGAGTTGAAAATTTGTGCATTTCTTTACATTTTACTGAAAATTTAAGGTCTAAACTATGTTGTTCTATGTTGTGAGGTAAGATGTATGGTTGCCTCTAAATTCTTGAAATATTGTGAAGTTAAAATTGCAAGAGAAGTTAAAATTACATCTTTATTAGTTGAATGTTATATATCATTAGAAACCTATAACTATGACATTTTTGGTCTCTTCAAATTTGTTAATGGAACCTGGTATTGCTCCTTTTTACTTGAATGGTATAGCTAAATTTGAGAACTGAAGTCAAGATCATGGATGACATATTTGAGTTTTTCTGTTTCTCTTTAGATGAATATCCATAGAGGGTAAAATATGTCTCCATCCGCTTGATCCAATCGTCAAGCCTCTCGACGTTGACACTCCCATCATAAACATGAATCTCTACATTGAAGTCGATTTTCAAATTCTGGTAAGAACCCTTACCTCCTTGATGCAAAACAGTCTTGACAATTTCGACCTCCTCTTCAGAATCAAATTCCTCATCTTCCCCATCGGACTCTACAAGTCTCTTCTTGCTTTTCGAAGAAGATTCCTCCTTTTTGTCATTTCCTTAGAAAAGATTGACGAGCTGTGTGAGAGTCGAACCCATTGTCTCCATCTGTTTCTCTAATGCATCTAGTCTTGCTGAACTATCCCCTTCTGTCATCTTTTTCTTCCTTAATCTCTAAACTCATTCCAAAGAAATAAGGATCTCGTTAAGTTTCTTATACTGCGATCGATTAAGGATCATACACAAGATCCTCCCTTCACAGGATCTAATCGCTCTGATACCAACTTGATACGAGTCGTTGGACGAGCACTCTTGATTGCGAAATTATCAAGAGTGGGTTGAGAAGAAAACGATAGAAAATACAAAAACAATTCAGTTTTGGCGAAGGAAAATACATTCTCTAGATTATGAGAATAATAGATTACAAAATCCCTCTCTCACAATCTCTCTAGAATCAAGAACAATCTCCAAATTCTCTCTAAACTCTAATCTCTTGGTTAGGATCTCACCTCTCTGATATCTCCCTGATTGTTTAGAACCCTAAAACAATTCTCTTTATAGATTTTACAACATGGATGGTAAACTTGTAATTAAACAAACCAAAATCAAACAGGAAAACAGAGTCCCAAACGAACCAGGAAAGCTCAGGAAACCGTCGCGGTCGATCGGATCCAACGACAGAAGCTAAAACCCATTAACGGGTTTGGCCGGTCGACCGCACAGGTCGCTACGATCGACCGCTAAAAGTCCAGAGACCTCCCAGAATTTTTTGAATGTTCGCGGTCGACCTCGGCGTCACGTATGGTCGACCGCTGGAAGCTCAAAACGTTTCCTACAGTTTCTTTCGTACTCTTCGCCTTTGCCACCTTCAACGACTTCGTCCATGTCTCTATTCTCAAGATATCATGAGAATCATTTATCCTCAAGCTCCCATGTCTTTTTCGCCGGCGACCCCGGCTGCAGCCAGCCCCTACATCTCCGCCGATTATGAGCTGGGTCACCTCCAACTCCTCCTCGTTCGAGCGGCGATCGGCAACAACGACCCTCAACGCACGAGGAACAAGTTTACTGATTTTGGTGAGTTGAAAATTTGTGCATTTCTTTACATTTTACTGAAAATTTAAGGTCTAAACTATGTTGTTCTATGTTGTGAGGTAAGATGTATGGTTGCCTCTAAATTCTTGAAATATTGTGAAGTTAAAATTGCAAGAGAAGTTAAAATTACATCTTTATTAGTTGAATGTTATATATCATTAGAAACCTATAACTATGACATTTTTGGTCTCTTCAAATTTGTTAATGGAACCTGGTATTGCTCCTTTTTACTTGAATGGTATAGCTAAATTTGAGAACTGAAGTCAAGATCATGGATGACATATTTGAGTTTTTCTGTTTCTCTTTAGATGAATATCCATAGAGGGTAAAATATGTCTCCATCCGCTTGATCCAATCGTCAAGCCTCTCGACGTTGACACTCCCATCATAAACATGAATCTCTACATTGAAGTCGATTTTCAAATTCTGGTAAGAACCCTTACCTCCTTGATGCAAAACAGTCTTGACAATTTCGACCTCCTCTTCAGAATCAAATTCCTCATCTTCCCCATCGGACTCTACAAGTCTCTTCTTGCTTTTCGAAGAAGATTCCTCCTTTTTGTCATTTCCTTAGAAAAGATTGACGAGCTGTGTGAGAGTCGAACCCATTGTCTCCATCTGTTTCTCTAATGCATCTAGTCTTGCTGAACTATCCCCTTCTGTCATCTTTTTCTTCCTTAATCTCTAAACTCATTCCAAAGAAATAAGGATCTCGTTAAGTTTCTTATACTGCGATCGATTAAGGATCATACACAAGATCCTCCCTTCACAGGATCTAATCGCTCTGATACCAACTTGATACGAGTCGTTGGACGAGCACTCTTGATTGCGAAATTATCAAGAGTGGGTTGAGAAGAAAACGATAGAAAATACAAAAACAATTCAGTTTTGGCGAAGGAAAATACATTCTCTAGATTATGAGAATAATAGATTACAAAATCCCTCTCTCACAATCTCTCTAGAATCAAGAACAATCTCCAAATTCTCTCTAAACTCTAATCTCTTGGTTAGGATCTCACCTCTCTGATATCTCCCTGATTGTTTAGAACCCTAAAACAATTCTCTTTATAGATTTTACAACATGGATGGTAAACTTGTAATTAAACAAACCAAAATCAAACAGGAAAACAGAGTCCCAAACGAACCAGGAAAGCTCAGGAAACCGTCGCGGTCGATCGGATCCAACGACAGAAGCTAAAACCCATTAACGGGTTTGGCCGGTCGACCGCACAGGTCGCTACGATCGACCGCTAAAAGTCCAGAGACCTCCCAGAATTTTTTGAATGTTCGCGGTCGACCTCGGCGTCACGTATGGTCGACCGCTGGAAGCTCAAAACGTTTCCTACAGTTTCTTTCGTACTCTTCGCCTTTGCCACCTTCAACGACTTCGTCCATGTCTCTATTCTCAAGATATCATGAGAATCATTTATCCTCAAGCTCCCATGAGGATCGCTAAGCTCATGAAGCAAGGAAGAAGATACACCCGTATCACACTTCCTCTCACATCCTCTCACCGTGAGCTCCTCCTACTGTAGTCCTCTCACTGCTCAACTCTTCTCGAAGATGACTCTTTGACCCCTTCTCCTGTCGTCTTTGGTATTATGTAACGGTTGCACGTCTATTTTATGTTTATGGTCTCTTTAAATCATCAAACATGCACTTTTAGATTTTCTAGATTTTTCTTTAATTTTTTTGAATATTTATACATATCTAAATTAGACCTCTATTTGACTTTGTGCTTTTTACCGTTATTTTTCCGCAATAGTCCCAAATAGTCTTAACGATGACGATGCCTTACAGCTACGCGACGCTATTCACTAATGATAGCCTTGTCTAGCCTAGTTTGCCTCAATCGGCACCTTGTCCAACTCGGACTGCCTCAATCAGCGATCTGTCCATTAAAACACCATAGGTCGTGACTTGCTTAATTCCTTGGTGTACACCATTGGCTAATAAACAACGCAACATAATACCACAAATTATCCAAGTATCATTAAACCAAATCTTCTTATCGTGTGTAGCAAACAACAACAAATCCAACCATCCAAAATACAAATCGATGCCAAACTTTAACAAGCGAAAATATTTAACATGTAAGAGAAAATGAACAGAACATAAATTAAAGAATATGTCCCCACTTACAGGTCTTTTGTAGAACCTAGCCTTTGTGCGATCCTTCAAACGTTGCTTCTAACTTCAGAATTATTTTTGAACATGCTCCCTAAATGAAGTCTCATCCCTTATTTATAGGCATCCTACTTATTATATTATTATTTTAATCTCATGCTTTTCTATAGGATAAGAATGTGCATGCTTATCCATAGATTTATATATTCTTTTATTCTAATGCTTATTCATAGGATGAGCTTGTGCACGTTTGTCCATAGATTATATATTTAGTTCTTAGGCTTATTCATAAGATAAGCTTGTGCACACTTATCCATGAATATATATTTTTTGTATTCCCATGCTTATCTATAGGATAAGCTTATTATTACATTTTGCATAAAAACCCTCTTTGGTTTTATATTTGCATATGCTAAAGTCTTAATTGCAATATAATTCCTAAACTTCTATTTGCAAATGTTTATTGCAAAATGATCAATAAAAATTTTGGATATTACAATTACAATGAAGTACAACATAAAATCCAACTAACAAATAAAATCAAATATTCTAAAAGATAGTCAAATTTAAAATTTAAAATCTAAATCTAAAATATCATAACAACTTTAACTTTATCTATGCTAACTAGTTTTTCAACCAAATATTTGTTATATCTTCAAATTGTTATGCATCACAGGGTCACTTGAATAAGTAAGTTATGGAAAATCATTATGTGGTTAAAGGACATGTCGTCTTTTGAAGATATTGACCTTCCCTCATTCCCCAACTCTTTCTTGTTAGGGACAAATTTTGTAGCCAAGAAGCAAGGTTGTCTTATTATGTAACCACTTTGTGTATGGGTAAAACATGACAAAAACCTTTCATGATTATGCAATGCAAAGATGAAGTATATTCATAATATGGCACTTTTGCAAGAAGTCTGACTCAAAGTCTATATATAGGGCAGGGATAGAATATATATGGGTGTAATTAGGGCTGGTTACACCAACCACTTTTCACTATATATTTAGGTTTAAAATAAAGTTAAATCTGTTAGTGGATTGTGGAGCTCTTCCTATTTATTTTCTACTCAATGTGTGTTTGATCAGGTGTAGTTGGATTTTCCCATGATATTTCAACTAAAACCAAATTTCAACACACATGGTTGGTTAGGTGTTGTTGCAATGCCAAAGAGTTGTTGCAAAACAAAATAGCTTAAAAATAAGATAGCTATTCTTCCTTTTAAATTGAAGGGTCAAGGATGTTGTAACAACATGTCTTGGAACTTGCATGATGCTGCAAATGCCATTGCAACTCCAACTACTTCTAACCAATGACACCCTAGTGGTGAAGACAAGAATATGATTACTCCTGCGTGTTGTATTTTGCTTTAAAAACAATGCTATTTTATTCATAGAAAAGATGCTATTGGAAGCATGGGTAAAAAGTATTCGAACTTCCCATTTTTTAATTTTGATGTGTTGTTAAGGACCAATCGTGCAGAATTTCCACACAGCACACACACACACAAAAGGGGAAAAAAAAGAAAAAACAGCTCACCAAGGAGTTAGCAATACTTATTTTAAGAATTGGTTCTCACCTGAAAACTTTCTGTATTTAATGAAACTGTCAAGCAAGAACATGTGAGAATTCTATGATGAGCCATCTCATGGAGAATGTACACTTTCTCTTCATCACATCCCAATGAATCATCAAACAAGAGGTCATATAGTTTTGAGACTTTTCTTGAGTTCAAAGTTAGGTGTGGAAAACACATTTTAAAAGCCATGGAAAAGGGTACCATTCTATGTAAAGCTTGTGGTATCTAAAGGTCTAAGGGAGCCTCAACATATCAAGTTCCTTTGATTGTGGAAAGGAAAAACCTTTAGTTTGTAACACGATGAGCAGAAATATAATAAGCTATTCAGTTTGATTGCATATAATTTTGTATCATTATGCTAACATGCAAATGCTGCAACAGGACTCTTGTTTATTGTCATATAATGATTTCTCTTGGCTGAAATGTTAGGTAGTGTTCTTAACTAACTCTTGATAAGCTTAAACTTTTCAGTACCTTTTTCGCAGCATTTTGGTAATTGGTTCTTCTGATAGCGCATGAAGATTTTATTGCAGGAAGACAGAGATGAAGATCTCTGCTCTTCTGACTTCTGCTGGCATAAACATAGGCCTCTGTACCCTCTTCTTGTCCCTATATTCGATCCTTAGAAAGCAACCGTCCAATCTTAGTGTTTACTTTGGACGGAGGCTTTCTGAAGAGCACAATCGACGTGACTCTTTTAGTTTTGATAGACTGGTTCCATCTGCTGGTTGGCTAATGAAGGCTTGGAGGACAACTGATGAAGAAATCTTGTCATCAGTTGGTCTGGATGCTGTTGTCTTCCTCAGAATGCTTGTTTTCAGGTACTTCACACTTTTGTGTAAGGTGAATAGTTTGAATACTCTCATAAATCAATTAGCAATTTGTTGTGTATTTTTGTGTGCGCACACGACTATCAGTCTGGTTTTTCCTATTCTTTTTCCTTTTTTTTCTTTTGCAAATCAATACTGGACACAATCAATATTAGGTTGAAACCGAATATAAACAAAATTAGTTGAACCTGTATAATAATGGTGGTGTTTTCTGCAAGCTAGTCAAGAGCGGTATGAAATGGACATGTTATAGGGAACATGGGTGCAAGTATCCGGGTGCTGTGAGTCTCACAAATTTTAATTACTAGCATAGCAGGTGATGTTTAAATACACAGTGACACAAATATATCCACATTTAGAGGAGCTGTTAGCTATCTTACTTCTATTTGCTTACCTATCATGACATTTAAGATAGTTAAAGGCATGAGATGGTTTTGAATGAACCCGAAGCCTTTATTTCAGAACTTTGCGGTTTGACTATATGAAACCTTTAACTTCCAATCTGTTTTATTGAGGGGTATCTTCTCAGGTGAAATCACTACTTTGATATCCTTCTTAACTCTCCATCGAAGTTTTCTTAGACTTATGTGCCGTCCTTTTTGCTCAATTAATGATAATATTATCTCTTAAGTGGTGTATACCATGTATTCGGTGGTCTCTGTTGCAGACACTTTTACCTCAATTGATTCTTCCGTATGTTATTATGAAATAGTTGACCTCTAACATCTTATGGTGCACTCACTTCTTACTCTATCTCTTAGTGTTTTTCTGTTCACTTATCATACCATTTTAATCTTTTGTTACACTCGTATTTGAAAATATAAATATTAAATTGCCCAGATTAAGATCCATAAAGCATCAATGGTCTTATTGTCAAGTCCCATACAGAACACTTACCCTTCTAATAAAACAATGCCCAATTTTCTTTAGGTAGTGCTTAATTGCTTATTTTAGATGTGATGGGGACACGGGTGTTTGTGTGTAGTGTCATGTGTGCATATCCGACATGGCAACAATGTAAAAATGAATGTCTAGGGTAACACAGGGAAAAAGATCAATAGAAATCTATTTACCTGGACATAACATATACAATTGTTATAAATCTCAATTATGAGTATATTCTCTCTGCATCTACAATAAGCATGTTACAGTTACACTGAGACATGGCGACGAGTCATATCATTAACAAATGTTATGATTGTAAAAGTTTAAGGCATATCAAGGAAAAGCTAAGTGGACATGTTAGAGCGTTTCAGAACAGTAGAATTGTAAAACGTCATGGGACAGAGGCCTCCAGGTTCCAGTAGAAAAATCATATGGGCATCCATATTAGAGCTGATAGAATAAGCCGAAGAGAAGATCATAACACATTTACAAAAGAAGGAATTAGGCGTCTGTGTGTGAAACCATCCTTTTTTATCGTTTTCAAAGGTTAGATGCGGTGAGTGAATCCGGTCTAGCCTATTTATCTTTTATCTTTCTTTATTTGGTCTTTTATTCACTACAAACAATTTAAAAGAGAAAAGTTACCGTTCGAGATACTGTTCATCCGATTCCTCATCATTTGCCATTTTATGCAGGATGTTGAAGATTAGTTTTTAGGATTTGATTTCCTGTAAGGATTTGATTTCATTTTAGTTAAGATGTTTTAGTTGGAATTGTTATTTAGTTAGAATAATTAGATATGATTTTTGTTATATTTGTCAGTTAGGGGTTTGTTTGATTTAGGATTTTATCCTGTAAATAATGATGTATTACTTTTGAAAATGAAAAATTAATGAATAAAACTTGACTTTTGAGAGATGATTTTGGAGTGATTCCTCAAGGCGTGAAGCCATGTTTTTTGGATCAGACGTCAATGTGTGAAACCGCCGTTTTCCATCGTTTTCAGAGGTTAGATGCTCAGTGAATCTGGTCTAGCCTATTTATCTTTTATTTTTATTTATTTGGTCTTTTATTGACAACAAAAAAATTTAAAAGAGAAAAGTTAGTGTTCACAGTGTTCATACAAAAAAATTTGACAAAATTCCCATTCAAAGTTCATCTTTTTCATTCCTCATGACTAGTATTTATATTTTACAAATTTAAAAGCAAATTTGCTATGGTCTACTTTAGCAATGAACCAAATTGAATTATAGAACTAAATTAACTAGAAAAATAAACCAAGCAAACAAACTATCTAGAAAGATGAACCAAACAGCAAAACCTTCCAAACTTTGAACTGAAAAACTCAACAGCTTTGATTTGGTTTGTTTGCAAATTTGAACCAAATTGCTCAACCCTAGAGTATGATACGTATTTCGTGTGTGCCTACATGCACTCTTGGAAGATGGGATTTAAACGCATCTGTGTGTAAGGTTCATATATGTCTGGAACGTGGGACGCTATAGCGAATCACAACTTGGGTTTTGTTGTCCCGGAATCACAGTGCGGCATGACTCGCAGTGCAGCGTGACCCGATTCACCAACTCGGGCGACCCAATTTGGAATTCAAACAACTAAAAATTTTGAAGAAATAATTCTTTTTCAAAAAGCATAAACAACAAACAACGCGAGAAATTAAGCAAATAAGGTATGCATAAGTTAGTTGCAGCATGTTTCTTAGGGATCCTTTTATCATTACTGATATCAACTAGCTTATTTCTTAAACTTGATTCTAGCATAACCTTTGATTCTTACTCTTACGTACCGAACCTAAAACGTACCATGTTCCCTCACGTACCATATAAGCCTACCCCATTGTACATGATTCTTAATAAATGACGTACCACACTTCCTTTCCCGTCCCGTGAACCGGAATGAACCGGGTTCCATGCGACTATGGTAAGGCTGTTAGATGAGGCAAACCAGCCAAGCTTTAGGTTGGTTGTGATTGTTAATTTATTTAAATGAGCTTATAAGTTTTCCAAGCTCTGTTCATTAATTTAGTGAATAAGCTTGAAAATGTTTTTAAGGACAGTGAGCCAAACCAACCTGCTGCAGCCCATTTGCAAGTAAGAGTCTGAAGAGCGGAAGAATCTCATGCATCTTTTCGAGCTTTTGTAGCCCATTTTCTTGCTCTGAAGCTTGTATCTTGAGCCTATGCTGAATTCTTTTATAGCTCCAGTCAATATAATATTAGTCAACTATGTAACTTTACATGAATTGAGCTTAAACAAGTGAAGGAACCCTAGATGAATCGATCTTGAGCTGAGCCTAAATGAATCCTATATGAAATGAGCTTGAACACGAGTTAAGTTCAGAGAATCTGCCTTTATGTTCATCTATTTTTTTTATTGAACGTGGATTTGTGATCATGCTGGTTCATTCATCTGTGAAACAAATACGACCAAACTTTACCAAGCCAACCCATACTCATCTTGTGTTTTTCTGCACGCACATGCATGCATACACTTCTGTTACTCTGTCTTTCTTTAAGCACTAATGTGCACGCTTCTGCATCCACTGCATTGGCTTGCTCATCATTAGAGAAAGTCTAAATAATTTCTCTCTTTCATGTCATAATGATAATTTTACTTGCAGAAAATTAGGATTAATTAATTCAGGTAATTTTTTTAGTTATTTTGAAAGGTTAGATGCGTAAATTCTGTTATTTATCATGCATCAAATGGATCGATCCTTATGGTTTTGATTTAACAGAATGGTATTGATCTAGTGTAACATTCAGTCATTTCTGTAGAAAGATCTTGTACGCTTCACCATATCGACTCAGTCTTTCGTAGAAATATTTTGTATGCTTCACCATATCAGCTCAGTCTTTTCCTCATCAGTCTGCAACAGAACTATTGTCATTTGAGAAGGTTAAGTAAAGAGGAATTGCTCAGGTCTTAGTCATTGTGAATCTTACTATGGGCACTTAATTTGGCATGATGATGCTATCCTTTCAATAGTGAAACCTTCCTTTACATCTTGTTTTTTGATTTTGTTGATAGTCTATTACAAAATAACATTTCTTAGTCCGAGTTTTAAGACTGACTACGTCATCTCCTGAGCCAAACAGAAAAGTGTCAGAGGGTTAAGATGCTCATTTTCAGAAGCGTGCATGAAGTGCATAAAACCCTTAACGATTTGGTGATAGACTATAAATTGCTTTTCTCTGTTATCAGCAACATCATCTATCTAGATTTTTATTGTTAGTTTTTAATTGACAAACAACATATTGAGGTACCCAGGTCCCCAATGGTTATGTGGGTATTACGTGACTGTTTAATGTTCAATCATCAAATCCTTTGAATCATTTTGTAGTATGGATTTCTTTAACAAAGTATTTCATTTTTCCAGGGAAGAGGTGGGTTTGGGTGTTAATTGTATTTATATTTCACATCTCTCAGTTATAAATTATAGTTATCACGTTTCAGTTGATGCATGACTTATTTACAGCCTACATTTTGTCTGTTGGTTACATTTTATGAAAAGCATATTGAGTTGTATATTTCTTATTCTTATCATGGGCTTATACATATGTTTTTTGCAGCATTCGTATCTTCGCCATAGCTGCTGGAGTGTGTCTATTTGGAGTACTTCCTTTCAATTATTATGGAAATGAAATGACACACACAAAGATTCATTTAGAGAAAATAGATGTATTTAGCATTGCAAATGTCGAAGATGGTTCTCAATGGTAATGCCCGAAACTTACCTGCTTGATGACTGATTGCTGCTAAAGATATTTTGATGTTTCCATTTAATTAGACTATTGTTTACAGACGCAGGTAATGTTGTGTACTGCACATGCAATTGTGAAGACTTTTCATGTCTTTTTACATGCATAAATATTCAAATATGTTTATACTTCTTTGTTTCTGAGTAGCTGTCTGAATTGGTGGTTCTATTCAGACATGATTATTTACACCCAACGCTGTGCTTGTGAATCTGGGTCATGTTTCTCCAGGTGACTCCCTGCGGCTTCTTAAAGAGTCAGATCGTACTACAGGGATGTTCAATAACCATTTTCTCTATACTTGTATTATATCCAAGAAAGTAATAGACTCATAGGACATGACTTCTTCTGAAGCAGAAGCACATGCCCATTTTAAAGACTTCAAGGTCCCTTCTTGCATGGATGAGTCCAGTTCAGAAACTTGTGTGGCAGTTCTAATTTGAGTCAAATTTAGAAAGATAGCTGTTGATGTTAAGTGATCACATAGTCAATAATATCCGCAGTTGGATGAGGTTGTTGAGTATTGATGATGGACCGCTTTCTTTCCCGACTTTGTTCTTGAGTTGAGTAGCTAAAGCCTGCACAAGTAGAAACTCGTGAGAGGATGGTGACTGGTTCCCCCGTGGTTCATTCGACTATCAAGTCAGCTAGTGAGCTTGAGTGGGGAAAAAGAACTATGAGTTCTTGTGTGTGATATGGTTCTTAGAAACTGATTTTGCAAAAAAAAACCCGAATTGAATCCGGATCCCCCCTTGAATGAGGGAATAGTACAATGTATTTATAGTGGTACCGGAAGGGCAGAACCGTTATTGTGGTCGAGCACAGGATGACGGTGAAAAAATATGAGCTGACGGCTGCGTCAGCACTCGCTTCACAGGTGTCGGCTGGCGACTGGAGGAGAGATCACGTCGGCATTAAATAAGAAGTGACTGGAGGTATAGCGGTGCTGACGTGGTCCGATGATTCATAAAGAATATCAGGGCTAGATGTATGATGACGCCTGCCAAACATTAAATACGATGCTGACACGTCAGTGGAAGAGGCTCGATACAGAAATTATCCTCTAGCTTCGCCGAAAAGTAACGCCTTTCAAGTCGATCTCAGGGGAGGGGGGAGGGGTGTCGAGCAGTTGGTCGAGTGAGATCGTTGCGAGTCGTCTTCGACAAAAGGGGACGACAAGTACCGCCTTTCGAGTCGACATGAGGGAATGTCGACTCGACAAGTCGGCTGAGTTATCGTCCCTGCTGGTCTCTGGCCTCGAACTTTATTGGGGCATTGCATACAGATGTACACCTATCCTTTGCTAGCAAAGGGTCGCACTTAGGTGGTTGGGAACACCATAATAGTAGCTATTTTTATATGGAGACCATCTTAAAAAGTACGGGATTCAATGTTGCCTCGGATTAAGGTTTTAGGTCTACCATTTAAGGGTTTAATAAAAAGCTTAGGATTTACTTCCAGAGCACGGGGTTAAATGTCTACAAAAGTGAATCCTTGGACTTATTCGTGTGACTTAATCTGTGATTTGATTACCATTTTTATGACTTAGAAATTCATCATATCGAGTTCATTTCTCAATCGGGTTCATTTCTCAATGTGGATAATATATTCTAGTTTAGGAACTTAATGGCCATCTGGAATTTGATGGTTTGCTGATTGGTAAATTGCTAATACTTCTGCTTGTCCATATAAGCTGGCTATGATTTGAAACATTTTTGGAGGTTAACAGAAGTTGTATTAGCATATAAACCGAGAGTATTTACGGTGCCAAAGAAATTGGGCAAGTGTTAACAGGTCTCATGGATACGTGCTTGTATATTCATTTCTAGGTTTCTGTATACATTTAATTTGGGACGTTAACGTCTCAACTATGTTAAGACTAATGGTGAAATAAAAATTCCCTATATAAGTCATTATTTTACCTTGCTTATCACAACAAGCCATAAATATAACGTAGCGCCTAGAAATAGGATAGACATTCCTAAAATTTTCTTCCCCTACCTAATCCCTAATTTCTCTCTCCCAGTGATGACTTCCCTTTGTTTTATTCTTATCCAAACATGAACCCAAAACTTAATCCTGTTTCTTTTCTCCGTTGCTATTACTGCTGCAGCTAGCTGCCTTTTTTCTTACTGTTATCCAATTCAAATCTCTAAATTTTCACGCATTTCACTCAAACAGAAAATCAATGAATTATGCTTTCCTTCATAAGTTTCTTTCCACACTATCTCTGTTTTCCCTTTTCAGTCTGCCTCTCTTAAGAAATCTTAGTTTTACTTGAAAATGAGAAAGGTCAGATTTTTTGGCTTTGATTTGGTCAACAATGAAAGATTTGTGAATTGTAGAGAGGTAGGAGAAAGAGAAAAGGGTTTAAGAATTTTGAAGAAGTTGTTTTTCTCTATTTCTTCATATGACAAAAGATTACACGACAACCTACTTAACCCCATCTCACTATTGGGTTCTCGTCCTAGCTGTCCATGTTGCTTCATGATAACTCACAATATGTGGGTCACATGATCTAATTATGTTTAATTTAAGCATGCAAACAGATACTCAATAAAATATTTAACAAAAACTAACTAATCATAGCATTAATTCTATCAATTCCTTTTAATGTTTTGTCCTTGCATACCTATAATATAACAAACTTAAATTTCTTTGGGTAGTGTTTTGTTGAAGATTTCTGCCATTTGGTCTTGAGTCTTCACATGCTGTGCTTCAACTTAACCATCTTCCGCTGCTTCACGAACAAAATGAAACTTGATTTTGATGTGCTTGGTGCATCTATGGAAAGTTGGATTCTTTCATTGAAGTGGTGGATTTGTTATCGCAAAAGATCGTTGTGACTCTCTTTCTTCTCACTAATGTCTTCAAGTATTCTTCTCAACCCTATTACTTGTTTTGCTACCATAGTGACCTAAACATATCCAGCATCGGCGGAGGATATTACTTCCATATCTTACTTTTTTGATGCCCACGAGCTTATGCAGGATTCAATATGAACACATACCTTGATATGCTTCTCTTATCCTCTGCATTTTCGGCCTTATGATTATTACAAAACCAAGAACTTTGGCTTTGCATTTTTATTTGGACATGAATCTCAACATCCTTTGCGCATCAACAAAGTGATTCTTGCTTGGCTTTTGCATGAGCTGTAGCAACAAACTTGAAGCATACATCATGATGTCTCATCTTGTAGTAGTAACTCCCAACTGAGCTTCTAAAGATTGATGAATCAACATCACCAATTGTTGTAAAAATCTGAAACAAGCGCCCCAAAAGTGTTCAAAAAAGTGGAAGCGGCAAGCTTCGCTCAAGCCCAAAAGTGGCTGAAAAACGCTTTTGACGAAAGTGGCTTAAAAACAGTCTAAAGTGGCTTAAAAGCGGCTCAAAGCGTTGTAAAGTAGCCCAAAGCCGCATAAAAGTGATCTACAATGGCACAAATAGCACAAGCTCTAGAGTTAAGTGGTTGAACCACTTTGCATGTTTTTTTTTTCACATTTGCATGTTTTGTTTCTTTTTCCTAAAAGGATTCTACTTAAAATTCGGAAGAAACTTGGAGCAATATAATGATGATTGTATTTTAATATGATGATTGTATTTTGATAGGTATGTTTTCTTCCCTTTAATAATTTACATTAAGTCATTTATTTTTTGAATGTGTGATTTGCATATCAAGCTATTTGTTGTTTTATCACATTACAATATGTATATTACTTAGGGTTTTTTTTTCATGAAAATCACCTTTAAAATAGGTTGAATCCATAAAAGCCACCTTTGAAGTTTTAATATTAAACCACCTAATAAGCCGGTTTAGTTTTCAATCAACCACTTTTGTCAAATTCTGCTCAATTAATATGCAAATTGCCCAAACTACCCTTATTAGCTACATGTGCCTACCATGTGTTTCCCAACTACACGTGTAATCAATGGGCGCGGCTTGGGTAATTAAGGTATTGATTGAGCAAATTTGACAAGTGGTAGATTGAAAACTAAACCTGCTTATCAGGTGGTTTATGTATTAAAAAAACTTTAAAGATGGTTTCTATCAATTGGATCAAATTTAAAGGTTATTTTCATGAAAAAAACTCTATTATTTTACAATATTGCATTAATCTAAGTATTGTTACATATCTATTTCATACTTACTA